TTCTAGAAAACTCCCAGATATTATGATGTTTGAAAATAAGAAACGGTGTTATTCCTCGTTCAACAAAAAAACAGGGCCGAATGTCAACGCAATATGAAGATGAAATGTATACCACTCATATCTAAAATATTATATAATTAGGTACCGGATATAGACAAGGTACCGGGTACGCTAACGTATCTATTTCGGATAGACCCCGCGGAGAGAGACCTATCTCAAGACGGCATTGTGTGCCCCTGGGCACGAAGTGTCTGTCTTTGTGTAACTGTAAACACGTGACCACAGTTAAAAATCAAATACAAGAGTCACGTGCCTATTCTACAAAAGCCACTTAACCAATTAGCGCCCGCCAGTGAACAGTATTCGGAACGGAATATGATTTGTGCTGATCATAAGAAAGTGACGTCAGACTTGGTGTAAGTTGCAATTATAAAAGCCAACACATAGTTTCAAAATACACGAATTAGTGTAAACTTAGGAGTGGTCTATCAGTATTAGTTTATTTGAAAACCCGGGTCATCCTCCTAATTCTCCCTCATTAACCCGGACCAAATCAACAGAAGATTAAGCAGGATGGAAACAATGGTTATATAACCAGTTATCATGGGCATATTTCAAGTTTCAACGAAAAATACTAGCACGGCGTTAACACGGCTAAGATATAAGAACTTTAAATACCGATCAAGCTGTTGGACCTGGTAGAATTTTAATCACAATTAGTCTGAGGATATAAGTATATTCGGTCCCGCGGAAAGACCGTCAGAGGTTTCCAAAGAAAAGGTTTTAGATAGCCCAAAATGGATAATTTAACTCGGCAGTGTTTCCTGCCGAGTCTTGGTAACAGAAACGTTTATGAAACATCGTGTAGCTGTACGAAACAAATTAGTGCCATCGGGATACGGATGTATGACCAATATTAATAATAACTAAAGTAATTAATAATAATAATATTAACGCACTACGAATTATTAAATTAATATTTGTGGCACTCTAGCAGCTAACTGCAGTGACAACAATGGTTACAAGTAACTGACCACTGTAACAGGTCACAGCCCGTCAACAATACATTCATACTAAAAGCCACTGACCAGCCCGGCGATGCTTTGAAAGAGCACCACGAAGCATGCTTAGAAATTAGCTTCTTTATATGGGATATTATGCAACGAGGCTATTGTTATGAGATCTAGCTGCATGAGCTCGAATGATATTTTTCATAGGCTGGTTTAGCTCTTACAAACATTATACTCCAGCGGCCAGGCTGCCAGGGGTGCACGCCGGTCCAATTTTTGTCAATCGGCGGTGGCGTGTATAAAACGGCACCGGGGCGCAGATGTTTAATAAAACAAATATAATAAAACAAATATTTATTTTTACGGCACAATCAAACAATATCAATAATAAATAAATCAGGGGAGGTTTCAAGAGGTTTCAAGTGCCGAAGGCCACTGCTTATCTTTAGGATTTGAGAGTGACCTGTGCTTGAAACCCCCTCAACCATCCACTACGTCAATATACTTATTATACAGGGTGGGCCAAAAGTCAGTGGGCATACGTTGGCCTTAATAGCTCCGCTGTGTTTTATATTTGAGAGCTGTTGCTTTGCAGATGGCTTACTGGTTCGAGGATTTCGTTGTCAAAATTTGAAAATTCGAATATTTTTGACCACGCCCATTCAATATTAAAACACCTATATTGCTTTATCTGAACATGCTGAACGCCTATTTTTTTCAGAGACGGTAGATTATTAAATGTTGCATTTATGATCTGACAACATGAGGCAAAACGGATTAGAAATTACGAAGTTATCAAGCATTTTCTGTATCTCGTTTTAACAACATTGACTGGGTGATTATGTGACACCGTGACTCGACACCTTAATTGGGCACCCTTAACAATTGCCATAATGATTAACGGGGTGGTTAACGGGGTCACCTAATCACGTGATTAGGTAAACCAATCACCTGATCACACGTAATGAATAAACTCGTTATGCTTCATATCTCTGTCATCTGAGAAGCTACAGTTCTAATTTTTTCAGGACAAACGTAATTCGAATGGCCAAACACAATTCAATAAAATTTAGCTCGATTCGATTATCAAAACTATCAAATAAATGCAAAAATGAACCTTCATTTGAAAAAAATGAACTCTAATATTTATCGATTTGACAAATTCCTCGAACCAGTGGTGGTAGTAAGTCATACCAGAAAGAATTATTTCAATTGGGCACTCAGTGACTGAGCTATTAAGGCCAACGTATGCCCACTGACTTTTGGCCCACCCTGTACAAATATAGAAAAATATAATAATCTAAAATTGCTAATTGGTCTAGTTTGGTGACACAGGGGAGCCCAGTTGAGCTTTAGTTTAGGTTTAGGTTTAAATCATAGTTTAAAAGGTTAGCCATGTTTCATGGCAGAGAGAGATATCATGTGTGCAGAGCCGTACCGGATGTAGAATTTGAGATATAATATATATATATATAATATGTAGATTAGTTACCATGTATAATTAATCTACCGTTCAATCTATCGGTGCGACGGCGTCTAGCGGCGGCGTGCACCCCTACCGGGGGTTGAACCAGTTAATCAACAATGAAGACAGTTTCGGGGGCAAAATACAGAAGTTCAGACTACAATATGAAAGAAAAATAATTTTATAATTAAAAGGATAATTTCTTGTCACTTTACGACCAGTCCGGTATCGCCCGTCCTATGACGGACGGGCGCGTGTGTGAGTTAAACTGGGAATATTAAACTAATAAAATCGCAATTTAAATCGGAAACGAACACCGGAACACAGTTAAATAATATATAATACTTCATACATGGTACGCTTAATTAAATTCCCCGAAAACGTAATTATGCACCGCATAATTTATTCTTTAATCACAGCACGGTAGACACTCGTTTAACCGAGCCTCTTGGGAATGGAAATATTGTACGGAAAATCGAGATGCCCTCTAGAGCCAGTCACGAAATATATCATCTAGGCACGGCGGGTATTGATTAAAAACATAGCTCCTCAGTGAGTTCATACTATTGCATACAACAGCATCAGTTTTATTAGACGAATAAATGTTGATAATTCTAAGCTTCTTTAAGGGTAACGCTCCTAACGTTTTTTAAATCATAAATTAGCATCATGTTAATGATTTCCAGGAATAACACGAATGGAGGAATTTGGAAAACAGCTGCCGGAATCAGAAATGAATATATAATTATAACATATTAACGTATAAGGAAAACAGTTTTGCAGTTGAAATTATTAAATTCATTTTATTAATTTTATTGTTAAACATAGACATACTGACTAACGTTGCATAATCGAAAAGAAGAGCACCTTTTGGTTATTGAGCAAATTAGAAGGGCAAAGATAAGGTTTTTAAACTTTAAACTCGTGTCAAGGTGACAAATACAAAGACAAATATTGTATATTTTTAATTTGAAGAGGTAATTTAACTCTATTTTGACGGGACATATAAAGTGTTTGCCCTGAAAAAGAGTAATTGTGATGCTGAGCTTGTAAAAAGAAGATGTTTATTACTTCGCACAAATTACAACAACGCCACAAACCAAAGAGAATTGTAATTGAGGGATTGACAAGTATTTATACTCGTAGTGACATTATTTTAAACTGCTATAATTTATTAGTGAATTCAAAGCTTTGAATAATTGTATTAATTCCAAGTTTTACCGTTTGCAAATGAGTTTTACAATTTAATTGTTAAGCTGGAGGGGGATTTGTTTAAAACATATTTAAGTGATACGAAAAGTTGTTTTAGCAGGAGCTTCCAAAATACATGTGTAAATCGTCTTCAGCTGATTGTAAAGCTTTTAGGTTTGAAATCGGAAACATCCAAAACGAGCGAAAGTATGTGGTCGTGAGACTGCGGTTAAACAGCGTTACATATATTATTATGATGCAGTTAGTTGAAAGCCAAAATTATTCAGACGACAGTAAAAGGTCAGACTGAACGTCACACTAACCGGTGAATTAGTGACTTCTAATATAATGATCCTGAGAATTTCATACTTTCATACGATCATGATACGATGGTATGGTTTTGCAGTTTGCACGGCGTAATACTATTTACCAGCTAAATTAAATTTTACATGATTAAATCAGACATAACTAGCAAGAGGCTAGTTATGCAACTGTCGAGGAAATGTATCGAGGAAATGAAGGATAGCTAATTTTATTTAACCTGCCGATAGTACAAGTATACAATATATATATATATTACATGTAGTATATATAATATACTACATATTGTAGTATTATCACATTCTGCTAAATAAGGCGAGCACAAGCTTTATAATAAGAATGTCTATGTCTTATTACTATCATGACACAAGTAAAACAGAGGAATATGTATAACATTTATACAGCACACATTTGACTCTCTGCCCCCTACCTAGCAACTGAGCTGCAGTACTTATTTCTGAAGAATCAAGAAATATCTCGAAGACCAGATATAATATAATCTTAACTTGAATGAGATTAATCTCATCATATAATAGATGTGGATTCTCGTGGAGAGGTGAGGTAAATTAGTTTACTCACCTCCCCACCAAAATTCACATCTATAGACTGTTAATTGTAACATATTATCATATGAGATAATCTCACGATCGTGTAGTGCGATTCGGTGATTAATAACACAGAACGTGATATTAGTTCAATAATTAACGAACGAGTTTGAGAAATGGGTGTGATACGAAGTTGGGTCAACTTTGCGCAGGTGTTGACTGAAGGTGCAAAGTGCTGGCAGTCGAATGGATGGAAATAGGAAAACAAGAAAGACTACTTTAAATATGAGTATAAAATACTGTACATCTGCAGATTCGCAGAACATCAGGGTTCATACTACAAACCGAGAAACTAGATTAGTGAAAATAACAGCACTGCTACCAGCACAACTATGCAGTTGCTGTACTATAAGTAAGTAATAATAATTAAAATTATTGAAATTAATATGATTTACAAAGGGTACTCACTCATGACTTGATATTAGGATTCGTCTGTTTTACTGACATTAGCTGAGTCCTATGGGTTAGATATGTTCAAGTTTCATATTGGAGAAATGGGGAATAAAAATAAAGTATTGTTTAGCTTAAGATAGAAATATAAATAGGGCTACCTGGGTGTAGCCACCCTGGTAACGTAACCACCCTGGTAATGCCACTACCGAGGTATTAGTTATAACTAGTCTAGAACGAAATAGCTTACAAATCTAGAACGAAATAGCTTACCAAGGCAAACCTGTTCCCAGAGATCGAGTCCTCGGCCTCGGTTTTACCGAGGAATGGCGATTTTTCCTTGACCTCGGTAAAAATAGAGTTGCCATTCCTCGGCCTCGGCAAAATTTGAAAATTTAACCGAGGATTTAAATTTTATAAATTTTTCCAAAATATTTAGACGTGGCTTTAATATATAATTATTTAGAGTGTTGCGCAGACTTTTGCAACTGGGTCGACCGGTCAAACTTTCTTTAAATAGCTCTGTAGTTACGTAGAAAATGTTATGAAAAAAGTTGTATAACTTTTAGCGTAACTTTTAGCAACTGCTTCATATCTTAATATATATATACAGCGAGACAAAACCGCATTTTAATTGTGTAGAAGTTCAGCAATGAAATATATAATATATATATATATATTTCGTTGCTGTACTCCTACACATTAAAAGTCGGTGTTGATTAGATCTTCGAAATTCTTTGCATCATTTATTAAACATCGTTATCTGAGATAAAATTGTTCTAAAAGCAACTATTATATATAATATATCCGTACCATTTTAATGACACCACTGCATCAACTTTAACACGACGTTCCGCAAAAACCGTTAAAGATATAAAAATATGAAACTTTTTTGACTGGGTCAAATGTCTTAATGGCCTTCAAATCAGCATGAAAAAATAAAAAATTGGCCAAGAAATAGAAATTTTATTGCCTAAAATTTGGACCCCCAATTGGTGTCAAAAACGCGAATTAAATAGGTAATATTTTAATATTTATTTAGTCTCTTGAGTCTTGACACCACTTAAGGGTTAAACGGGTTCCTGCTGGTAATAATAATAATAATAACGCTTTATTTGTATACCGCTTAAGCTGTATAAGCGACCAAAATCCCCAAAGTGGGGTTGATACTTGCCAACAAAGCGGTGCAGATAATTATAGCTTAGTAGTCCCATTTCTATTTAAAATTGAAATTTATAAATTGTAGATTGAACTTAAAGTCCTGACTTCATGACTACAGAATCACCAAAAATACTGTTCGCACATACAGGATAGGCTTGATGAAAAAGATGGGTCTTGAGAGCCTTCTTGAAGACATCTAGTCGAGAGATGGAGCGCAGTGAGTAGGGAAGCGTATTCCAGATTTTAGGAGCAGTGTGAAAATACATATGTTTCACCAACTTTCCCTGTGACAAAACCTTTAATTATGCATATGATATCATGTTTATGAGGGAAAATTGTGCAGTGCTGAAAAAACTGAAAAATGTTTCGCGGAAAATTTTATTTAAGCGTTTCAGTGGGTGAGCAGTAAGTACTGTGTGGGCAGATTATTTGGTTTATTAGTCGAATATTTTTACAATTTCACTCCTGACTTGCACGTCTTCAGCTTCAGGTTTTATATTTGGTGCTGAAGAGTGCTGCTGTAGAAAGGAAAAATTTCAGAGTTTTTGACTAATTTTGATGCGCAGTGACGTGAGCCAGTGGCCTTTGCTTAGGACATTAATTAATATAATTCATCATTCTAAGAATTTGGTTATGATATAACTACCAGTGCCACTACCAGCACTGTTCGCTACAACGAAATGAAGGATTCTGAAGAATTCTACCAGAACAGTCGGGTTCTCCCTCTCCCTCTCCCTCTCCCTCTCCCTCTCCCTCTCCCTCTCCCTCTCCCTCTCCCTCTCCCTCTCCCTCTCCCTCTCCCTCTCCCTCTCCCTCTCCCTCTCCCTCTCCCTCTCCCTCTCCCTCTCCCTCTCCCTCTCCCTCTCCCTCTCCCTCTCCCTCTCCCTCTCCCTCTCCCTCTCCCTCTCCCTCTCCCTCTCCCTCTCCCTCTCCCTCTCCCTCTCCCTCTCCCTCTCCCTCTCCCTCTCCCTCTCCCTCTCCCTCTCCCTCTCCCTCTCCCTCTCCCTCTCCCTCTCCCTCTCCCTCTCCCTCTCCCTCTCCCTCTCCCTCTCCCTCTCCCTCTCCCTCTCCCTCTCCCTCTCCCTCTCCCTCTCCCTCTCCCTCTCCCTCTCCCTCTCCCTCTCCCTCTCCCTCTCCCTCTCCCTCTCCCTCTCCCTCTCCCTCTCCCTCTCCCTCTCCCTCTCCCTCTCCCTCTCCCTCTCCCTCTCCCTCTCCCTCTCCCTCTCCCTCTCCCTCTCCCTCTCCCTCTCCCTCTCCCTCTCCCTCTCCCTCTCCCTCTCCCTCTCCCTCTCCCTCTCCCTCTCCCTCTCCCTCTCCCTCTCCCTCTCCCTCTCCCTCTCCCTCTCCCTCTCCCTCTCCCTCTCCCTCTCCCTCTCCCTCTCCCTCTCCCTCTCCCTCGCCCTCGCCCTCGCCCTCGCCCTCTCTCTCTATAAATATATATCTCTCTCTCTATATTATATATATCTCTCTCTATATATATTATATATCTCTATACAGCTCACCATGATCTTAACCTTTTACAGCTTTGAGTTAAACAATGAGTTAATCGCCAACTTACTTAGTAGCTAGTTTCTACGATGCTACACACAACACATTGATAAGCTATGTAAATTTTGAGACACAAAAGCTTTGGCTGCCACCTTAATCACTTAATCACATAATCCTTCATAAAACAATGGGCCAAATTACAATACTGCGATGCCAGGAAATTTTGAGACACATCTCGTGAGCATGGCTCTCCTATTCCATACTCCTACTCTCTTACTCTCTTCACTGTCTTACCTCAGAAACCCATTTTCTTTGCTTTCAGTTCAATAGAGGAGAGAAATTCATAATTGTTTTGCGATAACCACTCCTAGGTCAAAAGGGCTTTTAGCACCCATTGAGCTAGAGCTTTAAAGCAGGAACCCGTAATTCTCTAAAGTGATGTCAAGAGACATTAGGACATTAGACAGACAATTTTATTTATTTAATTTGTGATTTTGACACCACCAGGGGTCCATTTTTCCATTAAAGCATTCGACCCACCCAAAACAGTTTCAAAAATATATCTCTCACGGTTTTAGTGGAAAGTCACGTCTTGTTAAAGTTGAAGTCGTGGTGTAAAATGGTAACAGATATATCGTCTCGCTTTATATAATACTAGTGTAACCCGGCCTACGGCCGGGATTTCACTGCCGCAGTTAAAAAGGGTAGGAGCAATTACCCGCTGAGTCAAAATCCGCATTAGGTGACCCAATAGTTTCTTAAACAATAATCTCATAATCAGTTATTTCTTGTGGATATTTCAGTCATTATTAGCCATGAGGCACCACACTCCATGATCATAAGGTCTGAACACCGGGACCGAGTATTACACCTTATCACTCCCGTCTTGAACCGCTTTCTATTTTTCTTTAAATCGTTATAGAAATTAACCCTTGTTAACTCCGCACCACACCCGCATATTATATTTGAAAACACGCATAACATTGTCGTATGAACTCTCTCTCTCTCATGCAGTCCAAACAGACCCCAAACACTAACAGTCCTCCTCCCCTAATAAGCTTATGGTATTACATTACAGGGAATATTCCGGGCTAATCCAATTATGACGCTACTTAAATGCAGCTATCACATATAATACAGTAATGAGAGAGAGAGAGCAAGCCCCGTAACTCTAGCTGTTCTGCTCAAGCAATTTTATGTAACATTTGTGGTACAAAACCATCAATTAAACCACTTACCACCGGCCGATTTAAAAAAAAATTTCGTATGGGCTTCATCAGAGTTTTGTCGGCACTATACCGAAACAACCAGTCCCGTAACTCTTACCGCTTTTTTTGTATAACCGACCGGAAATTACACACAGACAGACAGACACACACACACACACATTCTGGTGTTATTAAGGTGATAGTAAGATGATGGTTTCAAGTCTTTTGATCATTTAGAAATAACCAATTACAAGCGTACAGAATTGACAATTTAGATGTTGACCTGAAAAGTCAGTCTAGGTCATAGGACCTACCAAACTAAGGTATAGCCCCTGTAAGCCGACAATTCACTCATGCTAATATCTTTACAAACAAGCATTTCAGGGCATATGATGCTTCATAAGTCGTATATAAATTGGATTCTTTACCTTCTAAAGCCGAGATCATAATACTAAAATGACAAATATCTGTCTGAGAGTTATTTACAAGCAAAACAAATTGCGTGCTTAGATTTGAATGATTTTAGTTTAGAATGATCATCCACATTTTTGAATCTACCTATTCTATTTCTTTCCAAAATACCTTATATCAATCGTTAGTTTTTGGAGCAAAATTCCGTAGCAATACAAATATTTCAGCCTCAAATTTCCTCTCCTTAACATCCGATTCCGGTCCGGGAAAACAGATTGATATCCGGCCGTTTCCGGTCCGGCAACGAAAAGCCCAGACCGGTCGGTTCCTAATGTATACCGTGTATGCTCCTATCGATATCGAATCTCCGATTTGTTAAAAGAGCAGAGCTTCTATTCGTTAAGGTTCTAAAGCAGACTTTATAACCTCTGATAGTTCTACTTGAACTCGTTAATCTCTAGATCTCCTGTAGTGCATGTTCTGAGAGCCAACTAAGAGTGATGGGAAACATGCGTTTGTCAAGAACAGAGATTGTCCTAATCATTGCAGCTGTAATACGGACAACTTTGGGTAAGAATCAAGAAATATTAAAACTATGTATAATATCATTTAAATAGATTATTATCGTCAGTTTCTCATGTCGATATTCAATACTGTCGTTCAATTTAGCAGGTAAGAAATTAGGTAATAGGAATCATTTAATTAAAATTTCACGTATTTAAGAATTCATGTCAATCTGAACCTGCTTTTTAGGGGTATTTTTTGAAATCCCTGAGCAATCATAAAGGTATAAATGACGAA